TTGCAATAAGGCTCAAAATAGTGTCAAAGTCTGAGTCCCTCAAATCCCTTCTTAGACCCAAGTTCCACCCAATCCCAAAAATGGAAGAGGACGGGGTGGTAAAAGACGAGATTGGTTCATTTTTCAAATCAGAAAGAGAAAACAAAGAAGGAAACTGATCCTTTAGAGGGGCACTCCCCACCCAGGTTTTTTCACATTTATTATATTCTCCATGTCGGCCTCCAAGAAGAGAATAATGTTGTCTACAAATTGGAGGTGGGAAACAATTAGGGCATCTCTTCCTACCTCAAAACCTTTAAATAAATTTAGACTTTTAGCCATGTCTACAAGCTGGCAGAAAACATCCACCACCAAAGTAAAGAGGAAAGGGGAGAGAGGACAACCCTGTGGAAGTCCTCTTGCTTTAAAATAACCTTTGGACTCTCCGTTCAGTAGAATCGAAAACCAGGTTGAACTGATGCAGCCTTTTATCCACTTCGCCCAATTAGAATCGAAACCCCTTAGTTTCAGAACTTGGAGAAGGCAGTCCCAATCTACTTTGTCGTAAGCTTTTTCTAGATCAAGTTTCACAAGGATACCCGGCCTACCGCTCTTTCTTCTCTCTCCAACACATTTATTTGCTATTAAAATGCTGTCCACAATTTGTCTACCTTCCATGAATGCAAACTGGTTAGGAGATACTAGATCTCTTAGGTCTTCTCTAAGCCTTTTTGCCAACACCTTAGCCAAGATTTTGTACATGCTTCCCACTAAACTTATTGGCCTGAAATCTTTCACTTCCAATACACCTCCTTTCTTCGGGATGAGACAAATGAAAGTTGAGTTGTTTCCTTTGTTTATCACAGCCGATGAGTGAAAATCTTTGAAAACCTCCAAGAGGTCATTTTTTACAACATCCCAGTAGATCTGAAAGAAGAGGATGGGAAAACCATCTGGTCCAGGAGCTCTGTCTCCGTCCATGTCATAAACTGCTTCCCTGATTTCTTCTTCCTGAAACTCTCTTTCAAGCCAATTCCTCTTTTCTTCAGATAGAGTTGACCCTTCCCAGCTTCTTAAAGTCAAATTTCTGAAACTTTCCTTAGAATATAGATCTTTGAAATGATTGAGAAAAGCCTCAGTTATCTCATCTGCATCATCCACCTCCCTTTGGTCCA